ATTAAAATTCATAGTGCCTGGAAACTTCAGGCACTGAGTTGCCTCCATACCACATAGACAAAGGTGCTCAGGTGTTTTAGTCACTTTGTGAGTAAATTGGCCACGCCAGAAATATATTGTCAAGAAGCTATTATTAGTTTCATTTACACACTAGAGAGATTTTCGGTAATGAAATGAAATGGTTTTGTTAATGGAGATATTTTAAAAAATAAATCTCCCTAACCTTCCCTCCACCCCATTGTTTCCTGCTAAAATGGCTTGCTCTTGTTGTTCCACAGTGAGTGCTTATTGGTGGTCGCAATTCTTTAATTTGTATCTTATATTTAAAGCAGGAGTAAAGGGATTTGCAATGTAGCAGGTGCTCAATAAATAGTGCAGACTAATCCCACTTTTCAAAGCTGAGAGGTTAAAGAGACGATCAGTAGATAAGTAGAGAAAAGAAATAGAGCAAGAGACTAGAAGAGTGGATTTAAAACACCAGTGGTTTGTTTATTTTAGAAAGGGAAAGCTATCTGTCCAAATACACATCTGGCTGAAGTAAGAGAAAACACATGCCATCTCTTTTATCCTCATTAAATCTAGAAGAACTAATTTATTTCATAGATAGGGATGGAAATTTTGAAGATAAATTTTAATATATGGCCAGGGATTTCTCTTAACTAATTTAGGGATTTAAGGTATACGCCAAAGCTTAGAAGTTTTTTCTTTTCTTTTTCCTTGAAAAATAAGGACGTGGAAAGAAGCCACAAAAGGATCATAATTGTTATAAATGATATAGGTTTTATGTTTTCCAAAGCATTTTCACATAAACCGTATTATTTGATCTCACAACCTGTCCTACCCCACAAGAAAAATGCAAATAATTATGGAAACTGATCTAATGTTTAGTTTGAAACTAGTTTTCTTTCTTCTCTTGCAGGCTTTGGAGATTTTCTTTTTCTTTTGGCTTGTAATTTTTTTTCTCTACAGTCAATCTAACAGAACAAAATTTTGCACATCTTCATATATATATGAAACTCTCTGCATAAGAATAAGCAAAAATAGAGAGCCAGTTATTTTTCCTTTGTAATAACTCTTTTTTTGTAGAACTTTCCGAAAATGTGTTGCTTCCTTTAGCTGCTGAAAAGATCTGCCTTCTAGCTATTTTAACAGGAATTCCTAGGCAAGTACGCAAAGACACTTCTGCTTTCTGCCATAATTATTCTCTGCCCTCCCCTCTTTGCCAGTCTGTTATTGATCAGCAGTTGCAATAAGAATCCTTCCTCTGTCCCTGGCTCCCTCTGGGACAGGGAGATCCAGGCAAGGCCCCAGGGCCTCAGATTCCTCCTGTACTCACCCATTCCACCCCACACCTGTTCCTCTTGTGGTGCTCAGTGGACTGGTGGGGCCTAGGTTTTTGTTGTTTTTTTTAAACTCTAGAATTAAAAACTTTGTTTTTTTTTTTTTAAAAAAAAACATATTTCCTCCAGGAAATCAATGTTCTCTTGTATTAAGCAGTGTCCCTGGGAAAGATTGCTGTACACACTCTCCTTTGCACCCTGCAGCTCACAGTAAGGCACAATCGCTGCACTGACTCTGGTATGAATGTATTCACACTGGACAAAGCAGTGGCCCCAGCCCATGCCTGAGGAGGCAGGGCAGCAACAAGGCTTCTGGATGGCAGTGGACAATGGTAAGCTCGCAGGTAGTCTGGAATTCCCCCACAAGCATTTTAGGAGATCTCTGGCAAGGCAGGTGGATTAATTGTATAGGGGCAAAAGGACTGGCCCAAGCCACATGATATGCAGCTGTTCAAAGACAACAAAATATCTTCAAGGGTATGCTGGGAGAAGGGGACATGTCCTCAGAAAAATGTTTCATTTTCTCATTAAGTGCTAAATCAGTTGATGTGACTCCTTACGTATTCTTCCCTTTTCCACACAGGGAGGATGTGTCCCTAAGGCCAGTTGTAAGGCCTGATTGGTAGTTTAGTTAAAAGTTCTAAACTAGAGCATCTTGACCTTTAAAAATCAGCATGAGAAGCCAAGGAAATGGGTAAATGTTACAAAAAAAGCTGTGTGTGTGTGTGTGTGTGTGTGTGTGTGTGTGTGTGTGGTGTGTGTTGTTTTAAAGAAAACTGTTGATGCCAAAAAATTGGGGGGTGGGGAGGGATGCTAGGAAAGTATCATGTGCATCATGTAGAACTACGTGGAAGAAGCTGATACCTCTGAAATAATTAACTCTCAATTCCAAATGAATCTAAAATGAGGTGCTAGAGTATCTCTCAGAAGACCTGGGTAGAAGTGGTAGGGAGGAGGGTGTGGCAAGAATGAAAAAATACAGTGTGTAAGAAACAAACAACTCTTCTACACAGTGACCTCTAAGGCAACTTCCCTACCACAGTTGGTGTTTAATAAATCACAATGATGGCATCAAAGTAGCAGTGTGATGTAACAAAAATAAGATGGGTTTTAAATGCTGAAGTCCCAGTAGCTGTGACCTTAGACAAGTCATTTAATTTCCTTTGAGCCTTGATATCTTTATTTGTAAAATTGGGGTCAATAATAATTCTTGTCCTATTTCACAGTGCATTTGAGAGAATTATTAGTGAGTGTCCTTATACAAAGTCAATGTGTGGTGATGATATTGACTGAATAGACAGGAAAAGGATTCCAGGACACTGATAACATCTGCTTCTTGCTGTGGTGCTAGTTACGTAATACATACGTGGCTACTTCGAAAAGTTGTTAGGATTTGCGCACTTTTGCAAACATATACTTCCCTAAAACTTTTACTTTTAAAAGTTATAGTTTTTTCAAGGTGGGACACTCATGATAAAAAACGACAAGAAAAACGCTAAATATGCCATCAGAAGCTCATCACGGTTATCCTCATTTCTCCTCCTACTCACCCTATCATACCTGGAGGTTTGGGAATCAAAAGGGATCTCTGAGAATCTTCAGTTATTTTCTCTGTGTCTGTTCTACTTCTTATTGACTAGTATTTTCCTAGAGGAAAGAAGCTGGAAGAACGAACCAGGAAGTTTCCTACATGCCAGAGAGGTCAGCACTAAAAAGAAAGAAGCCCAAGTTGTTCACATCAAGGGAAAGATGTGATTAGAGGGATGTGACGTGCAAAGAAATTATCTGAAAAGTGAATTCAGTTGGGAAAGTATAAGCCCCAAACAGCCCTGAGCAGCTGGTCATGATCAGATTCTCCATCTTTCTGTCAAATGTAATCGTATCCGAGTTGGCAGGGTATTTATTGCTAAAGTCGAAGGGCCAGATTTTACACTAAACATATTTACACATTTACATTCGTTGCCCTATAAACACACCACGTTTCACTGGCCATGACATCAAACACATTTACCAACAAAAAGCATATGTCTAATTACAAAATCATAGAGGAGGTAAGTGGCAGCTGATGGGCAATAAGCATGCATGCCTGTGTATGTGTATGTGTGACCCAGCTGCACCACCAGGAAACCGGCAGAGACAAGAATGAATGCAGACAATGCTGGGCCCACTTCACTTGTCCTCTGCTCTCCAGGCCTATCCTCGTCTGGTTAGTTCTAAAGGGGGTGATGGACCCCCTGGCATTCCAATTAGATGCATGGTTACCCCCCTGGAAGAGCCCTGAGAGATGAGGGCAGTTCCTGGGCAGATTTCTGATTTGGATTGAGTTTGATGCGGATATGACCTTTAAATTGCCCCCAAAATGACTTTTCTCAGTCCGTAATAAAAACAGGTGTGAGCAGAATGTGCAGTCAGCAGAGAATTTTAAAATTTTAACCGGAGTCCTTGATTCCTAGTTTGGGTAGTATGATCAGATCCCTACCCATCAATAGCAATTGTAATAACACCATTAGCCGCTCCAAGCTTGGTCCTCGATCAAACAAGGAAATCAGAGCCACTGGCTAAAGAGAGAAAAACACAACAGGCATAGCCTCAACCACTGGCCTCAGACGGACTTTAATAAATGACAAAGGCTGGTTTTCCATCAAAATAATCACCTTCCATCGGAATAACCACCTCCCCCAACTCTCTCAGAGGACAGGCTACAGGAAGAAATGGTAGGTTTATAAAAAAGAAAAAAACTGTGAAGAGCAGAAAAGCCTTCTCCTGAGATGAATGCTTACTACACTCACTGCAAGAATTTTATCATAAATATATCCAGAATTCCAGTTCCATCAACAGAAAGTTTGGCCAGGAAAGAGCTGCCAAGGGGCCAGACAAGTTGAGATGTGTAAACATACAGATGTTTCAGGGAGCAAAAAATAAGAAGCGTCTTCACAAAGTTTTTCCTTCACCTCCCCAGTTCCTTTTTTTTTTTTTTTTCCTTTTCTTTTTTTAAGGGGAAGGGAAGTGGCCCTTAAATAAATGCATGGGATGGGATGGACAGGAAACACGTTGTTGAGAAGAAGCGCTAGCTTCTTATTTTAAAGAAATAAAATAATTACCCAATAGAGAAAAGAGAAATCAACCAAGGAATGATCTAAGGTCATGACACCATGTGTGGTACAAGGAGCAATTCAACCCATAAGGGCTTCATTACCCCCGCAATAGATAACATTTGGCTAAATCTAGCTGCAGATTAAATCTCTGCAGCACAACAGAGACCTGAATGAAGAGGCTCCTTTTTGTGTGGTCCTTCTCCGGGAGCTGCCTGAACCATTAGCCCCAATATATCCCTCTCACTATTAACTGCAATTCCCTCCCGACTGAGCTTCGGTCATTTGTCTCGAGGCTCTACGGGGGCGTTTGATGAGCAGAGAAACAAGGAGAAGGGGAGAAAAGCGTCGGGTTAATGAGTTGTAGCAAATCCACACTTTGTAGTTGGGAGGAGGAGAGCTGGTGGCCAATGTTTGTCCAACTGGTTTATTTTTCGAGACCCAGCCTATTGAGGAAGGCTTGTTCAAGCAGGCTTCGTTCCTACAAACACACAAACATCCTTCTGTTTGCCTACAAAGAAAAGGGGACCAGCGCTGGATTTGCATGCGAATGAGGAGCCCCAGGAGGAGACGTCCTTGCCCATCAAAGGCCGCGGTAGCCCGGCGGCCTTTGTTCCAGCACCTGCTCGCCGGCGCGGCCTGACAGGGCTCGCCCCGCGCTCCTGTCTAGCCTGTCCAGGGTCCTCGGCCCACTCGTCCCTCGCCTGGCCTGCGGTCCACACCTCTCGCAGCTCATACCCGACCCGACCCGCGGCCCTGCTTCCCCGTCTCAACCTCCTGGTGAGCAAGCCCGCAGGGTGGCCACGGCCTAGAGCGGAACCCCAAACCCAGAGGGTGGGGAGCTGAGCGGCGGGACGCAACACTCGGAATCCAGGCGACTTGGATTTGCACGTTCCTTTAACTCTGGGCTGACGCTGCTCTCCACCTGTTTGAAAACAGGCTTGCGGTCTCCAGTGGGGGCACGTAAAGTGGGACCCCAACCCCGGGACCTGGAGCGAGGCCTGGATTGCCCAGTGCCTTCTTGCCATTCTCTTAAATGCACTGATACCCCCAGATGTGGGGCCTATCCCAGCACTTTTGAAGACGTGAGAATAGGAACGAGGAGACAAGATTAACCAGGATTCCCTGCTTTCGGGACATCCAAGCATCGGGCAAAAATTAAAAATACACACGGTTTTGTTCTGGCTGTCTCTCCTCGTAATTATTTTCAGATCTAAATTTCAGATGCGTGCGTTACAGAAGGCCACCAGGCGCTCCAGCAGTGTCTGTGCCTTTTGGATTCCGCCTGCCAACGCCTCTCCACCCGAGGCGGTGCGTGGGGTCCGGACGTTCTCGGGGTCAATGACTCCTCTCTTTTAGCCAGGCTAGAGTAAAAGTAACTTTCTATATAAAATTTTGCTCTAACAGTATTTTAATTTGTATCTATAGAGTTAGTGGGAAGTTTGAAGGTAAGAAGGTTTAACCTCCTTGAAACATTTCACAAGGGGGGGAACAAACAGCTTCATTTGAACCCGTGAAAGTCCGTTTTCTCCCTAAAAAGAGACAGGGTGTCATAAGTGAGTATCATTACAAAATATTGACCCTATAATGCAGACTTCATTAACTTGGTAAGTTAAATCTGCAAATCTTCAGATATATACCTGTCCAGACATTTTAAAGAAATTGAATAAACAGATTTAGTCCCCACTAAAAACACTAACGTCAGATATTTAAATTATGCGTTACATATGCCTAGGTTTTATTTGGAGCGCAGTGTCTCACGTTTTTTCAAAGAATAGAAATTTCATGCAATAGTTAATAAAAAGACATTAAACTTTGAAAGATAAACCTAAATTCAGTAAATATAATTAACTCAATGAACACCTGATGTATTTTCATTTTTTCTTTAAACCATCCTAAAGTTGAAGGTTTATCTTAAATACCCTAAATCATTCACTTAAGCCATAATTTCAATAAATTTGTCTTTTAAGAGAAAAACCTCTTTATACAATTACTCGAATTCCTTCCATCTGCAACACAGTAGCTGTAAATAGTGGCATTTTAAAATATGATTTATTTCATACATACAAATACGTCCTTATTCAGGGCTTTAAAGCTACTTAACTGATGATCATCTCTACTAATTTTTCCTATTAGAATTCTGAAACTAGAAACTGCCTTTTTGCTTGTTTCATTTCCATTACAAGATATTATGTAGAGTTTTTGCAGACATAATATTGTGAACAAAGTGGAAACTGAATGGGAAGAAAACTCAAAAATGAAATACAAAGTTTCTATAAAATTATCTTTGGGTACCTTTGGCTTTAATTTTAACATACCTCAATGGGCTTTAAAATGACGTAGAATCAGATTTGAAAATGTGTACCAAAGTAACATTTTATTTGCAGTCATTTAAAAGTAACTTATTTTATTTGTAGTCATTTAAAAGTAATTTCTGATCTCCTACAGAAAATTCTGATCTTCCTAGTTTTCACTTAGGAAGTTCAAATGAAAAATCATGGCATGATGCTGCTGTTAAAATTCTCTCTGCAAATATTTAAGTCTGTTCCATATTGGGTTCCTACTTACCCCACATAGAAACTTTTTTTAAGCAGAAAAGAAAATAAACTAAGAAGGGGACAACTGAGGCCAGTTATTTTGGTGAATTTTCTTTGAAAATTAAGCACTTTTATTTCTTAAAAAGTGTAAAAACCTTACATTTAGAATAGTACAATAATAATTGCCAGTAAAATTTACAATACTCCTTGTAAAGAATACACAGTAAGTACAAAATAAAAATTCCGCACATCTGTTATGATATAAAACACAGGTTGAAATAAGAAAGGATAATTTTGACTTTTTTCCTTGTGTAAACATGTTAACCATTTTTTTTCCTTTTCATGAAAAAGTACTCCAGACAAATGTCCTCAAATAAAAAAGTATTGCTTCGCTGGCATTCTTCGAGACCTTCACTATTTTTGTATTATTATTTTGAACATTATTTTTAAGGCCTGGACCTGAGAATCTGCACACCTCAAAAGGCTTAGTTGTTTTTCATCTGCCAAACGTCTAGGGAGCCCCTAGTGCCTACACAGAGCGGACCCCCTTCCCCAACACCCTCTTCCTCCCTGCCCCAGGTCGCGGGGCTGTAGCATAGGACGACTCTGCATAAATAGAGGGACCCGCAGAGCCGAAAAGCGAGCCGGAGCTGTTGATAAACAGTTTCGTCTTAATATTCGCAGCGGAGAAAATGGGCGCGCAAGGTCGAGAGGGGCCGCGCCGGGAGGAGCGAACAAAACCCCGAACCACCGAGAGGAGAAAAGGAGCTGGGATTCCTACCTTCTTCCTCGAGCAGGCTAACATAGCGTTATTAACAATTGGAAATCCTAGCAGTAAAGTTCTCGACACTGGACAGGGCAGTCCCTTGGTGCAGAGTCCCCAGGGCAGCGGACGAGGAGACGGAGGAGGCAGCGGCGGCCGCGGCGGCCACGAGGGAGCGGGTGAGCGCGGCTGCCGGGCCCACGGCCGCCTGCGCCGCGCAGCCTCCTCCGCCGGATCCGGGCGCGGGCGGCGCCGCCACCGGCGAGGGCGAGGGCGAAGCCTGAGCGGCTGCGGCGGCTTGCGCAGCGGCGGCGGCAGCGGCGGCCGGGCCCAGGCTGCCCCCGATGATGCTCTCGATGGAGAAGGGCGACCGCGCCAGCGCTGAGGCGCCCGGGCCGCCTGCCTTGGCCGCGGAGGCCGGCAGGGGGCCGGGCAGGGCGGCGCCGAGCGGGTGCGGCCGGTAGCCGAAGGCTGTCCGGGCCAGCTCGGCGGCCGCGCCATGCGGTGGCGGAGGCGGCGGGGGCGAGTGCGGATGGAAGGCGGCGGCGGCGGCCGCGGCTGCGGCGGCGGCGAAGAGGGCCGAGGGCGGCGCGTAGGGCGGCAGCTGCAGGCCGTAGCCGCAGCCGTAGGGGCCGTAGCCATAGGCATGCGGGGGCGGCGGCGGCGCGGGCGGGAAGAGTGCTGCGGCGGCGGCCGGGTCGCCCGCGCCCCCTGCGGCTCCCGCGCCGCGCAGCAGCAGCGACTCGGCGGCAGCGGCGTTGGGCGGGAGGAGCGGCTGCCGCTTGAAGCGCTTCCTCCGGCGCAGGAAGCTGCCGTTGTCGAACATGTCGGCGGACTCGGGGTCCAGCGTCCAGTAGTTGCCCTTGCCCGGGTTGCCGGGTTCGCGGGGGATCTTGACGAAGCAGTCGTTGAGCGAGAGGTTGTGGCGGATGCTGTTCTGCCAGGCGGGGAACTTCTCCCGGTAGTAGGGGAAGCGGCCGCTGATGAACTCGCAGATCTCGCTCAGCGTCAGCCGCTTCTTGGGGCTCTGCAGGATGGCCATGGTGATGAGCGCAATGTACGAGTAGGGCGGCTTCACCAGCGGGTTCTTGGCGCCGCTACCCGCGCTCCCGCCGCTGCCGCCACCGCCGCCGCCCGCGCCCGCGCCGCCGCCCCCACCGGCTCCCGCCCCCGCCGCCGGGGCCGGACCCGGGGGCGCCGGGGACCCTCCAGCAGGCGGGGCCAGCAGGATGTCATCGTCGTCGTCCTCTTCCTCCAGGTCCTCCAGCTCGTCCTCCCCGGCGTACGAGCGCCGCCGCCGCCGCTGCGCGGGTACAGACAGCCGGGGCCCGCCACCACCGCCCTCGTCGTCGTCCTCCTCTTCCTCGTCGTCTTCGTCCTCGCCCTCCCCCACCACGTCGATGTCTGTCTCCTCCGCGAGGCCGGAGGCATCGGACATCTCCGTGCTCAGGGTCATAGCTGTGGTGCGGCGGCGGCGGCAGGGCGGCGCATGGGGGCGCCGGGCTCCAGGCTCCCTCTGCGCCCCAGCCCGGATCCCGGGCAGCTGGCCCGGCCGGGGGGCGCCACGCTGGGGGCGCTGCGGCTGCCGGAGCTGCGCTGGGGCCGCCGGGTGGCGGCGGAGTCTCGCACGCCGACTTTGTAACTCCTGCGCCGCTGCGGTAGCCGCGTGTCTGCTGCGCTCCCTGGGCTCCGCTTGCGCCCGGCCTGGGCGGAGGACTTGATCTCCTCCTCCCGGAGCAGCTTTTGCCCCGTCGGTTGAGGAGGGGGTGGCGGGGCGCGGGCGGGCGAATCAGAATGCCAGGCGTACAGGAACGTGCCGGACGGGTGAGAGTCTAGGAACAGAGCTCGGCGAGACCAGGGCTGAGTCCAGGAGAGGGCGGACCTTCCTCGGCTTATAGCAGAAGGGGGCCTGTCACATGGTGTGCACGTCAGAGCGCTGCCGAGGGAAGGAAAGAAAGCCTAGGAAATCTGCCCTGCTTGGGAGAGAAAATTCACTCCTAGGAGGGAGGCAGCAGCTGAGAAGAGTGGGGAGCAGAGCGGACCCCACTATTTCTTGCCAAAGGGGCTGATACCCGAATTACGCGGCGGTCTATACCAAGGGCCTCTGCACAAGTTAAGAGTTCCCAGGCTGCTTCTTGATTAGTCATCCACTCTCACCTCAGAAGCACAGCCGCAACGCTCTTCCCTGACCCCTCCACGGCCTGCAGGAGCTGACCAGCCGGGGGATAACCACCCCATCCTCTGAGGTGATCCCTGGATGACGCTTTGAGCTCTGTTGGGGGTGTCCCAGCTCCCCCAGATTGGGCGAGCGGCTCCCCATTTCAAGCACGATAATAATTGTTTTTTTGACCCTTTAACCCGTTCTCTTCGGTTTTACTCCAAAGACGTTTGCTTTCTGCCATCAGTTAATAAAAATGCTGTGAGACTGGCGTTGTAGTCACTTATCTACAACTGAATGCCCTAGAGGCTTGACAGTTAAACTGAGCCACTCTAATGAGAAGATCTGACAAATGTCATGGGAATTAAGAATGTAACAATTGAATTCGGAAAAGAAATAGAAATTTTTAGTGAAAACCCAAATACATGCACAGAAATTGCACCTATGAACTACTCAAAAAAGTTCGACCAGCCTGGCCAACATGGTGAAACCCCGTCTCTACTAAAAATACAAAACTTAACGGGCGACGCCTGTAATCCCATCTACTCAGGAGGCTGAGGCAGAAGAATAGCTTGAACCCGGGATTCGGAGGTTGCAGTGAGCGGAGATCGCGCCACTCCACTGCACTCCAGCCTGGGCAACAGGAGCGAAGCTCCACCTCAAAAAAAA